CAATTCACTAGAAGTATTAACCAAATATATATCTACCAAATATAGGGTAATCAATTTTAGAAGATTTGGAATCTTATCTTTAGAAATTAGAAAGTTTTTGTATTTTATTTCTTTCTTTCTTGCTAGTAAATCTTCTAGAATGTACTCTTGGGTATTTATATACCCCAACTAAGCTTAATGGAAACATACGACGATTTCTGTTTCAACATGGTATCAGAGCCATCTAGGGCTAACGCCTCTTTTCAACCCTAGCTTTCTTCTTCTTCTTCTTCTTCTTCTTCTTCTTTTTGGTGGTCAATATGGCCCTAGAGAATCCCCCCACCACCACCACCATAACTGCTATTACAAACCCATCTTCTACACTTCCTCCATTCGGATCTGCTCATCACTTTCTTTCCCTACGTCTCACGGCATCCAATTACTTGCTATGGAAAGCACAAGTTATCCCATTTCTCAAGGGACAAAACCTCTATGGTCATGTCGATGGAACCAAACCGTGTCCCTCTGATGCGGCTGAAGCAGCTCTCTGGCAACAACAGGACGCTTCCATCATGAGTCTTCTAATTGCGTCCCTCTCAGAATCAGTTTTACCTCTCATTATTGATAAATCAACCAGTAAAGCCATTTGGGAAGCTCTCAATGCCTCTTTTGGCTCAGCTTCCGCTACGCGTATGCTCTCTCTTCATCTTAGTCTCCAACGTCTACAACAAAAACAGGACGAATCAGTTATTGATTTCCTCCAGCGTGCTAAATCCATTGCCGATGAGATGGGTGCTGCAGGCAAGCCTCTTGAACCGGAGGATTTCAATGTCCACATCTTCCGTGGTCTCCGATTTGATCTCCAAGACATTGTTCCTACATTACTTGGCCGTTCTGAACCAATATCGTTTACGGATCTTCAAGGTCTTCTCCTTAGTCACGAGAGTATTAAGGCTTTCCAAAAGTTGCAGATCTCTGAGCCTTCCTCTTTTGCTAACTCTGCTACAGCCAACTCTACTCAACGAAATGCCATCACCCATCCTGGTTTCTCTTTCACTAGCCGTGGTCAGTCCAGAGGTCGTAGGGGTCGTGGTGGTCGCTTTGGCCGTGGTCGTGGTGCCTGTGGTGCTCAACAAGGTCAGTTATGGTGTTCCATCTGTCAATGTACAAATCACACTGCTGCTACATGCTACTATCGCCCTCCAGGTATGCCTTATTACCCGCCCCCTACACATACCCCTTCGAATACTTCATCTTATTGACCCTCTTACTCTCCTAATGCCAACCTGAGCCATGCCTTTCCCCCTCTTTTACCTACACCTACCAACACTATACCTTGGTACCCTGACACTGGTGCCTCCCATCATGTCACACCTGACATACAATCCCTCTCTTCCTACGAAGCCTATAATGGATCGGATCAACTACACGTGGGCAATGGTAAGGGTCTTAAAATCACTAATATTGGTACTTCTTCTATTCCCTCTTCGATTTCAAATCTTTCTTTACGTTTAAATGATGTTCTTCATGTCCCTGATATTTCTAAACGTTTACTTTCGGTTCAAAAATTTGCGTCTGACAATAATGTCTTCTTTGAATTCTATCCTACCCACTTTCTTGTTAAGGATCTAGTGACCAAGGCGGTTCTTCTCTCCGGACCGAGTAGTGGTGGTCTTTACACCATACCACAACAATATTCAATGCCTACTGCCAGTATTGCGGAACGGACTTCCATGGATGGCTGGCATCAACGACTTGGCCATCCCCATGAGCGTCTCTTACGGTTTATGATCAAACAGAATAATTTGTCGTGTCAGTCAACACGGTTGAGTCAGTTATGTACAGCTTGTCAATTGGGCAAGGCTAGTCGTCAGTCCTTAAGATTGTCTCCAACTCGCAGTTTATTTCTGCTGGATTTAATATATAGTGATGTTTGGGGTCCTTCTCATTTTGTTTCAACTGATGGTCATCGCTATTTCGTTATTTTTGTTGATGATTGCACCAAATTTATTTGGTTTTATCCTCTTAAAGTAAAGTCAGATGTTTACTCTATTTTTCATACATTCCAAGCTCTTGTTGAACGTCAATTTTCACGAAAAATAAAAGCCGTTCAAACGGACCGGGTGGGGAATTTCGTGCCCTCCCCTCCTTTTTCTCAAAAATTGGTATTGCTCATCGCATCTCCGCCCCTCATACTCATGAACAGCAAGGGGCAGTTGAGCGTCGTCATAGGCATATAGTTGAAACCGGTTTAACATTATTAGCTCATGGCTCCGTCCCTCACCAATACTGGCACTACGCATTTAAAACGGCGGTCTACCTCATCAATCGAATGCCGTCCAAGGTCACTAATCACATCTCCCCCTTTCAAATGGTTTACAATCACCCTCCGAATTATTCCTTCTTAAAAATCTTTGGGTGTCGTTGTTTCCCTTATCTACGTCCGTATAACACCCATAAGATGGATTTTCGCTCCATTCCTTGTATTTTCTTGGGATACAGTTCCTCTCACACAGGGTATCGCTGTCTTGACCCTGTCACTAATCATTTATACATTGTTCGACATGTTCGTTTCGATGAAACTTGTTTTCCCTTTGCAACTCCTTCCATTCTCGGTCCATCACCTCATTCATCACTTCCTACACCTGTCCTGGTACCGTGGGCTTCAGCCCCTATTGGCGTTCCTCCGCCTACCAATATAGTGAGAACACAGACTCCTCCACTGACTCCCACAATGTCGTCTAATACCAATTCATTCATCTCCCCTACCTTAAGAACCAGACCCCTCCACGACATTTATCACTTCCTTCCTCATCATCCTCTCCACCACCGCCACCGCCGCCCCCACCTAGGCCAACACGCACCCACACCATGCAACTTCGCTCTTGTCCTCCTCAAATTAATACTGCCACTACCTCTCTCACCGAACCAACCTCATTCACCCAAGCCAACAAAATCCCTGAGTGGCGTGCAGCTATGACCGATGAATTTAATGCCTTGTTAAAAAATGGTACGTGGTCTTTGGTCCCTCGCACTTCCTCCATGAACCTCGTTGGGTGTAACTAGGTTTACAGAGTTAAGCGCAAAGCGGATGGTAGTCTTGAGCCTTATAAAGCTCGCTTGATCGCTAAGGGTTTTCATCAACAACATGGCTTGGATTATACAGAAACCTTCAGTCCAGTTGTGAAAATTACCACTGTTTGCTCTATATTATCTCTAGCTGTCTCTCAAGGGTGGTGAGTGCGACAATTGAATGTGTACAACACTTTCTTACATGGGATTCTTTCTGAAGAGGTGTACATGGAACAACCCCCTGGGTTTCAAGACCCAACTCGTCGTGATTATGTTTGCAAGTTGCATCGTTCTCTATATGGTCTCAAGCAGGCTCCGAGAGCCTGGTTTCAACGACTCTCACAGTTTTTGCTTCATTTGGGATTCTCAGCATCACAAACAGATCTCTCATTATTTATCTATCGAAGAGGCTCTGATGTCATTTATTTTTTTATCTATGTTGATGATATTTTGGTTACAGGAAATGCATCTTCTACTATCAGTACAATCTTAGAGACATTATCTGCAGAGTTTTCCATTAAGGATCTCAGCCCGCTCCACTTCTTCCTTGGGATAGAGGCTGTCCCTCACTCTAACGGGTTGCTTCTCTGTCAAGGACGTTATATTGATGATCTTCTTCACAGGGCTGGGATGTCTGAGTGCAAGCCTGTCCAAACTCCTATGGCCACGACTACAAAACAATTTGAGAAAGGGGGTGCTCAGATGTCTGATCCTACTTTGTATCGGTCTATAGTTGGTGCCTTGCAATATGTGACATTGACAAGACCAGATCTCTCCTTCGCCGTTAATAAAGTTTGTCAATTCATACATGCACCTACTGAAGACCACTGGCAAATGGTGAAACGCATATTGCGCTATCTCAAACATACAAGGTCATTTGGTTTGCTTCTTTCCCGATCCAATGATAATCGCTTGCAAGCTTTTTCTGATGCGGATTGGGCTGGTAGCTCTGACGACAGGAAGTCAATTGAAGGGTATGCTATTTTTCTTGGTCCTAATTTGATCTCTTGGAGCTCCAGAAAATAATGAACCGTAGCGCGCTCTTCCACAGAGTCTGAGTATCAAGCTCTTGCCGATGCTGCAGCTGAACTCATTTGGCTTGAGTCACTCTTTAAGAGCTTGGGTTCCCTTTTCAAGGTCCCCCCATCCTTTGGTGCAATAATATTGGTGCCACTTATATGTCTGCAAATCCAGTTTTCCATGCTCGTACCAAACATGTTGAAATTGACTTCCACTTTGTTCGTGATCGCGTTGCCAAACGACAACTCAGTGTGCAGTTTATCTCAACAGCTGACCAACTAGCTGATGCTCTCACCAAAGCTCTTCTCAAAGCACGTTTTGCATTTTTACGAGACAAGTTGAAGATTCGCAGTCTCGATTCTTCAACTTGAGGGGGTGTATCAACCAAATATATATCTACCAAATATAGGGTAATCAATTTTAGAAGATTTGGAATCTTATCTTTAGAAATTAGAAAGTTTTTGTATTTTATTTCTTTCTTTCTTGCTAGTAAATCTTCTAGAATGTACTCTTGGGTATTTATATACCCCAACTAAGCTTAATGGAAACATACAACGATTTCTGTTTCAACAAGAAGTTTACAAAAAGTAGTGTCATACATGTATACAAAAAGCAGTGTCACAGGTACAACATAGACAAATCTTATTGCAGCTATTTACCAACATACGCTAGCACATAACAATGATTATTCAGTTAAGCCTCGTCAACGAAAGCACTGTCGAGCCCTACATCCAATATGACCATGCCTTCCCTTGCAACCCTGGGAAAGGTAACACCCAACCATGTGTTTTGTGCTATGTATGCATATGTTTCTCTATAAATAGCTTCTCTCAGGGAGTGTGCCCTCCACACGCCATCTTGTCCAACTCTCTAATATTCCTCTCGTCTCGATATCTTGCTCTTATTACTGTTACTGTCTCCATCCATCCATGGCAACGCCACCATCAACTCAACCACAAGACCCCCAACAATTGCCTCCTCCTCCCCTCAAAGTCGACCTCGAGGGACAAACCAAACAAGCCCTCAAGCAAGAGATTGAGGTCGTAGACTTCTCGAAACGTGCTCAATGGCTTCGCGCCACCGTGCTGGGCGCAAATGACGGGCTACTCTCGCCGGTGTCACTCATGATGGGTGCCGGTGCTGTCCACAAGGACGTCAAGACCATGGCGATAACTGGGGTGGCGGAGCTAATCGCCGGGGCCTGTAGCATGGCCATTGGGGAGCTTGTATCCATGTACTCGCAGTACGACATCGAGGTGGCTCAGATGAAGAGAGAGGACAAAAACGGATCCTTAGGAATCGAAGAGATGGATGCGAGGAAAGAGAAGCTGCCAAGCCCATGGAAGGCGGTAGGGGCATCGGCACTGGCCTTTGCAGTGGGGGCGCTGGTGCCACTCCTAGCAGCTGTGTTCATAAAGGGGTACCAGGTGAGTTTGGTGGTGGTGACAGTGGCGGTGAGCATGGCGTTGGTTGGATTCGGCGGGCTGAGCACGGTGCTGGGAAAGCACCAATGGTGAAGTCGGCTTCTAGGGTGCTACTTGGAGGGTGGTTGGCCATGGGCATCACCTTTGGTTTGACCAAGCTGATTGCCTCTACTGATCTATGATAACTTGAGTGTTATATATAGTGTTTCCTTGATGGTATTAATGACAAGTAATAACATTTACATATTTGTATCTTAGATCTTTGTAATTAATTAAGTGCTCTCGCTTGCTTCGCTAGCTAGGGCACATGATGAAACATGAGCGGGTACTTTACTTTTTCTTTTATGTTTTTTTCTTTGGAAGTAATAACATTTACTTTTTCTCTTCCCCGCTGCCCTTCCCCTCATTTCTCTCTCATCTTTACTATTTCCTTTGATTCTTGAGATCTTTTTCTCATGGTGTATTTTGCATGGATGGTAATACTAATCATTTAATCTTATCGGAATACAATTGGGTTGAACACAAGAGGCGAAAGTCGATGGTGTATGCTATTATTTAATCAAAGATTCATGTTTATCAGGTTTCAAATTTTATTGGTCTATTGCAATTGACTCGGAATATCTTTAGCATGCGGTAAGTGCAATTAAAACTATAGGCATGGCGCAATATACAATATCAGGGAAATTAATACTTATAAATAATCATCATCACTTATAAAAACATTAGATTTTCATTAGATTTAATCGTGTCAACCGCATAAGACACGATTTTTCTCGTGTCATCCCGTTTATGATACCAACCCATTTATGCTAAACAGAAACCTATTTAATTACATGCAGTACCCATGCAATATTCGTGCAAGTACAGTGATTGTGCAATATTCGTGCAAATGATTTGGGTTGAGAATTCCCGGCCGTAACTTCCAAGTAATGTAGCAAATTACAAGTGAGACTTTATGTAGGTGAGCTACATTCAAATATAATGAAAATCCGTCGTATCAATTAATATATCAAGTTTATGAGAATTATCAATATATTTAGCATTATTCCTTCAATTATGTAAACGAGCTATACTCAGACTCTTGTCACATCATTAATATGCCAATTTGATAAACTCTTGTCACCTTGAGCGAGCATTTTCTTCCTCGGCCGGTGGTCAGCCATGACAAAGCTCAAGCTCACCAGCCTCGGGTGAGCTCGAGCTCACTAGCCTTAAGCGATGCTTGAGCCTCACCGATCTGGCGAGCCTCAAGCTCGCCTGCCTAAGGCAAGGCTCGAACCATGAGCTCACTAGCTTTGGGCGAGCTCACTCCTCGCTTATGGCCGGCCATTGGCCAAAAATGTTGGAAAAAGAAAAAGGAAAGAAAAGAATAAAAATTATTAAAAGGAGTGCACGAATCGGATTTTCTATACCAGGCGGAAAATATTTTCTATTTCATTTTCAGGTTTTAGCTGCATCGAAAAATATTGTCATTTCTTGGAATATGACTTCATGAAAAAAAATTTCTAGAAATGTCACAATTTCCACTGGTCTAAAAAAAATTATAAAATTGTCCACTAGATTTGTATTATATGGAAATATTTTAGCAATATAATTTTTAAAAATCTTAATAAACAAGTTTTCCTTGATTGAGTTATATATGAAAATGTTTTAACAATATGACGAATCGGGTATAGATGGGGTATCAGTCGGGTAGAGTATGGATCGGGAAATTTTCATTATAAATAAATAGATCATAAACGGATTAATGAGTTAATTTGGATCGAACCATTTATGACCCAACCCACGCATTTGACAGGTTTAGTTGCATTTTAGCGACTTCGATCAAGATTGGTGTTTTTTTTAGCCGAATAGAGTGTGTAACTAGCCCACCCAACACAAAAGCTATGAAGGTGCTATAAGAAAAATGAAATGTATTTTTGGGTAAAACTCAAAATAGTATGTGAAATTTTGAGAATTATAAGGACAAAAATCCACGTCATTTCAGATGAGCTATCCAAGATTTCAAGCATCTATTCAATTAAACAAAAATTTAAGAAACTAAAACAAAACTCGTTCCACCTTACCAAAAAAAAAAACAAATTACTCGTTCCAATAAGAGCTAACCCATGTGTGGCGATGCTGGAAGACGATCATGTCAAACGAAGCCAAACTCCAAAAGAAGCCAATACAACTCCTTGCAAGACCAGTGAGTTTGGCAACCATCTTTGAAGGGTTGAGGATGACAATGAACAGACCCATCCTAGAACCGACTTTGAACCAGCTGGTTCGAGCCAATTTGAGGGTTTAGCCGGGTTGAACGGAGATCGATGCTCACCCCCAATCAAGATCACATGGTAGATTTTTGGTTTACGGTCAGGTGTTATTGGCAATCTTAAATGTGCGCTCCCTCACATAATCACATTGACCTGGTTCATTCTTGATTTTACTCATGAAGCGCTCCCCTCAATTTGAGCCCAAAATCACTGGGATAAAACTAAACTCTCTTACCGTCTAAGCACACCTTATTGGTAGTATTTCTTTTCTTATTCTTATTATATATCTACGTCTTACCAAGTTGCGAATTTCCACCTCATAGAAATTAGAAATTTCAGAAAGAAAAATAAGAAGAGTTTGTGACATTCTGAAATCCGACCCACTTAGAATTTATGAAATGAATGGTTTATAGACGTGCTTGTAGTTAGATCTCGCCCGGAACTGATAACTTCGGGAATACTAACCATTAGGGAAAGGCTAATTAGGGATTTAAATTCGCGCGACCAAAGAACTCGATCGTGAACTGACTTTCGACCATGAAAATTGTCGAGGTGACATTTTGAGTCAATGTAGGTTGATCAAAGGATAGTTAGGGATCAGTTCGTCATTGTCATATGAGTGGATCGCGGGTGATTCTGCTTGACCACGAAATGAATTGACGAATGACCCCAAACCTATACCAAACAATCGTGCCCGTCGGAACTAGCGATCGATCCTCGCGATTAAGTGACAACCGAGGTCGTCACGACCCGAGTGAACTTGAACGTGGCTTGATTCAGCATCGGCCACGGGTCAAATGTGCGAATATCCCCAAAAGCCACCCGTTAGTTTGAGAGACGCTCAAGTTACGTAAATTAAATTTGATCATTAATTAGAAACCAAGTTTGGGCATCGGAAATTATGAAGGTCATGACAGGATAATTGGATGATGTTGTCATTAGCTCGGTTAGCCTCGGATTTGTCCGAATCCTTCAAAAAAATCGAATTTCGGCGAGAAATGGAAAATGACCGTTTTACCCCTGAAGGTTTGTTAAGGCCAAGTGTATTTGGGGAAGGCCATTTTGGTCATTTCACCCTCACTTTAGAAATAAAAATTTTTGGATAATTTTGCCCTTAGGAATTTTGTGAAATTTCAATTTTGCTCCTGGATATTTTTGGTAAGGATTAATCTTGGCCGTCGATCTTAGGATAAGATCAAATCGTGATCGTTGATTTGGAAAGTAGAGAGGAGGGTAGGATGGTCATTTGGCAAAGGGGTTAGACACAAATTATTGAATGTTAGTATTTATTCTCTCTCTCTCTCTCTCTCTCTCTCTCTCTCTCTCTCTCTCTCTCTCTCTCTCTCTCTCGGCCAAGCCCTCTCTCCCTCACATGAAGTGGCCAGTCGGCCACGCCTTTGGCCGCCGCTGCGCGTCCGTCCACCGCCGTTCCGTCAAGCCGCCGTTCGCCCCTCCGTCTCGCCACACCACCACCACCACCGTCCCTCTCTCTCTCCTATTTTTCCCATCACCGAAACACCATCACCAGCCTTCATTTCTGTTCAGTCCAGCCGAGGAAGACCAGCAGCTCGTCGCTGTCCGCCGTCGTCCGCCCGTGGCCGCCGTGAGCCGCCGGTGGTCCTCGCCGCTTGACGCCGTCGCTTTTGCTGTTTCCCCGATGTTTAGCCATCTTTGGGTGCTTGAACTCGCGTAGGACCTCGAGTAAGTGATACACTAACCCTCGCCTAGGATAACGGGTATTTTCGGGTTAGTTCGGGGCCGTTTTAGCGAGTTTTAGGAGTTAATCGTGGGACAATGGTTGGACTGATTTGGCTGAGTATTTTGGGTGAAATTGTGATGATTTTTTAGGTGGAATTGAGGTTAGAATTAATTGGTTAGGTAATCGGAATGATTCCAAGTGATTATTGTGGCTTATGGCGCAAAAAACGGGCCTAAATGTGCCGTTATGGTGATTTTATGTGGTGGCCGAATTACTGTTCATGCTGTGGCCGAATTAGTGCATATTGGTGATCAAAATATAGCGCGTGTTGGTTCGGGGGTTGTCAGTAGGAGTACGACACCCGTGAATGGCGGAATTTAGCCTAAAATGCGGAAATTCAAGTTAATTGTGCACGTGCGAATTTAATTGGGTTGGCTGATTTGTGGGTGAAAAGGTGATGATTTGGGGCTGAATTGAGGTTGAATTTGGTGCTGAAAATTGTGGCTCGCATTGACGAGCGTATGGCTTGATTTAGGGACAAATTGTGCCGGTATGGTGTGCCGTGTGGTGGCTGAATTGTGGGGTTTGTTAGGGCTGGAAATAGACTCGGAAATGCTGAATTTATTTCATGATTGTGGCTGTGATTGTGGGCCCGATAGCGGTCTTGTATGTTCGTTGAATCGTGAATTGATTGATTGAAATGTGGATCGTTATGTGCACGCATGGGCTGAATTGATTTGATTGGTAATTGGCCACGATTGAGTGTTGATTGAGCATGTGAAATGCGTGTGGTTTGGTGCGTGCACGGGCTGAACTTGAACGACTAGTATATTGGCATGTTGGCGTGTAAATCGAGCGAGTGATCGAGTGAGAATTGTGGGTGATGCTGTATGTGTGGCTATGAAAATCCCTGAGGCGGTACCATTACGCGGGGAATTGATCCGTCCTGAGGCGGTACTACTACGTGGGACGATGCCCGGTATTACCGGAGGACGGCCAACCTGAGGCGGTACCATTACGTGGGTTGTGTCGTAGGTGGTGGATGTTGAGCCTGAGGCGGTACCATTACGCGGGAAAGATACATGGCCTGAGGCGGTACCACTACGCGGGCCAAGAAGTGTTGTGAATATGAGTTGGTC